TATAGTACAGTAACTTAAAATGACAAACTACAGTATATATTTAATTAATAAATAAAATATTGCAAGATTGCCTACCATTAGAAAATAAATACTGTACAATAATCATCTTAGATTAGCACTAATTTTTGTATTCTGAATATACAAAGACTAAAATATTATTTGTGAATTAGTGATTTTGTTGGGAAAAATTGTCACACAGATCATTCATCTTAGCTATACTGGGTTCATTTAATTCAAATTTTATTCTAAAACAGGCAAAAACTATTTCAAGTATTGAAATGTATGCCTAACGTATAAGCATGCGTAACAAATACCCATTTTAGCAGTACAGTACCTGTATTGTATTATATACATTTTTATATTTATTTGGTCATTAGCTTTGATACAAAAATTTGCACAACAATAAGTTTTACATGGAATTTTAAATTTATTTACTAACATTTGGTGAAGATAACTCGGGTGTCAGGGAGCATCCATGGCAAGGACAGATGCAAGATACCACATGAGACAAATGCCTGTCCACCTTGAGAGGTATTCAGACTAAACAAATAGTCGTTTTCTCCAAGAGATATTGACTTCGATGAGTTCTATTTCATCAAATTTGTGCTTTCCTGTACAGTACAAAAAAGTATTTGTACTGTATAACTGCCGAAGCTGTTATAAATTTCTTGTCGGGGATATGCAAGTTATAGCAATGATTATATGTGTAATGGAAATCATCAAAAGATTAACATGCTTTTATTGCTAAAGTTTAAAATCTACAGTATATGTAATTACAGTGTACTATTCAATAGCAAATATCTCTTAGATTTTGTTAATGCAAATGATAAAATATGCTTTTGAAAACATTGTAAAATTTGAGAAAATATTACTTAAATACAGTATACCTGTACTATATTTTGTTTTTAGCACTTCAGAAACAACAGGAGCCTTCTGTTATTTGTCATTGCAACTGATCTTAATGCACATATTGCTGGAACAAAACTCCTGCCATTCAATTTATCTGTTAGATCAAGTTCATATTTGAGACATACAAGTGACCCTCCATGCAAATCCAAACCTAAGTAAACCAAACTTTAATGTGTGTGAGAGAAAATGAAATTAGGCTCCAGTGATCTCAAGACATCAACTTTTACCTACTCTTTACTAAGCAAAAACATATTTTAACAATACTATTAATGCTTTCCCAGTTTCCAGCCAAAAGACAGCACCTACGTCCAAAAATGCTTGTGAAGTAATGTACAATGATGCATAAAGATAACCCAACACTTTGCTACTACAAGAATACAGCAATGGTGGGAGCCCAGCTTGCTGCTGAATCTACTGTAAATAGCTTTGAAATTTCCATACCATATCAAAACTTGGTACATAAATACTTATGCTATCTGTATAATTCCAAATACACATAATGCAAACTGCACAAATTGTGCACAATAATTTACAAAGCAGACCAGCACTGAAATATATACACGTACAATACCGTACAGGTAAGATAATTTAGTTTCACCTTAAAATCTACAGGTCATATAACTCAATATTTTAAAAGTAAGCATTCGCCTGATACTGTATGTATGACATTACATTTCTCCCTAACATTATGTGTCATCACTCAGAAAATAATTGTGCTTTTCAACAAAATAACAAGCTTGTGATGTGTAGTACAGGGTGTATATACAGTATACTAAACAACATGACTTATTACACACTGTTCTAATTTTTTATGCAAAATAAGCAGTGTATAGGTACTGAAAATAAATACTGTAGTTACAGAAAATTATAAAAATTTATATTATGGTAGCCTATATTGCCAATTTACAGTTTAAGCCCCTTGTGTATTTTTCAAATCCTTGAATAATAGACATTCAATTTTTTACCAGAAACAAAATTTATAATAATCCTATGTAAACTAGTGAAATCCTAATTCAGTCAGCCAATAGTGTGGCATCAGGATGTGTTATAGCTCCGTCATTTGGACTCAAGACACACACATCAACTTCTGCTTTGAGTCTGATCTTATGTATTTCAGGACTCCAAAAATCACTTTGTGAATGATTAAGACTGCTAAAAATATTAACATTAATAGGTACTGTACATAAATTTTATTTAAATTGATTATTAAATATTTATTCCATAATCAAATATCATAATTGGTTTATTTTAAAGTCAACCAGAAATTTAAACACATCAAGGATATACAATGAGCTATTCTTTGTTGTTTTGACCATATCTTTCTATTTACTATGAACTTCCTTTTGGGTAATACCATTATGTGACAGTAATGGGAAAGTGGTCAGGATCATAGATTAATTGTTTATTGGATTTGCTTGCCACATGTTTTTTTTTTACAAATTATAAATGCCAGAGGCATGAAGATATGACACTATTGTATTCTGTAGTCACCAGCCATGATATAATTAATAAATTCAGTTATGGCCATTTCTTTCATTTAAAGGAACTAGTAAAGCAATGTTGTCACCACAGCAGTTTGAGGTACCAATAATACAGCATTTTATGTGTAAACTATTATTTTAATTACTTTATGACTTTCTGTAATGCAAATCATACATTTTAGTATGCCTCTCTACCTTAACCCTATTACATCTTCTTCATATATGCATATGGTACATGCATTTTGCAATGTTCTCTTCTCCCAATGATTGTACAAGTAGGATATAGTGAGAGATGTCATATCTGAGCACCAATGTTTATGATTTTGTCAAGGCTCGAATGCCGTTTCTTAGACTTGATGCCTGGCAGTGGGTTCCTAATATACAAATAGGGCAGCAGGAAAGAGACACTGAACTACAGGTCAGTGTCCTTACCTTGTATACCATGCAAGGTGATGGAGAAGACTGAGAAAAAACCTAGTGACATATCTGGAGAGAACAGACTTTGTGACACACCACCAACATGGGTTCAGGGATGGCAAATTTTACCTCACAGGTTTAATAGAATTCTATGACTAGGTTACAAAGATTAAGCAAGAAAGAGAAGGGTAAGCAGAATGTATTTTTTTGGGCTGTCGGAAAGCCTTTGACGCAGTACCTCATAAGAGGCTGATGCATAAGTTCGAGAAACAGGCAGGAATAACAGGTAAGGTGCTCCAGTGGGTAAGGAAGTACCTAAACAATTATAAGCAGAGTGTTACTGTGAAGGGTGAGACCTCAGAATGGCCTGACATTACTAGCAGAATCCCACATGGGTCTGTACTTGAACCTATCCTGTTTCTGATATATGTAAATGATCTTCCAGAGGGTATTGACTCATTAATACAGTAGTTATAAATCTTCACAATGTTTTCTGACGATGCTAAAATTATGAGAAGGATTAAGATAGAGGATGGCATGAGCCTAGAAGATGACCTGGACAAACTGAAGGAATGGTCTAACAAATGGCTATTAGAGTTTAACTCAAGCAAATGTAAAGTAATGAGGATATGTATAGGGAGCAGGTTAAATACACAATATCATTTGGAAGATCAAATCTTTCAAGAATCAGGGATAAGAAAGATCTGGGGGTTGATATCATGCCAGAACTGTCTCCTGAAGCCCACATCAAGAGAACATCAGCAGCAGCACATGCTAGAAGGCCTTCAGAAACTTGTGTAAGGAACCATTTAGAACCTTTTATACCACATATGTCAGACCAGTCCTGGAGTATGCAGCTCCAGCGTGGAATCCGTATCTAGTCAAGTAAAAGACTAAACTGGAGAAGGTTCAAAGGCATGCTGAACCCAAGTTAAAGGGTATGATACATGAGGACAGACTATGGGAATTAAACCTCATGTTGCTGGAAGACAGAAAAGTTAGGAGACATATGATCACCACATACAAGATTCTCAGAAAGATTGATAGGGTAAATAAAGACAATATTTAACACAGGCGGAACATGCACAAGGGGACAAGTAAAAAATGAGTACCCAAATGAGCCCCTGAGACATTAGAAATAACTTTTTCAGTGTTGGTTAACAAATGTAATGCATTAGGAAGTGATGTGGTGGAAGCAGACTCCATACACAGTTTCAAATGTAGATATGATAAGAGCCCAAATGGCTCAGAAATCTGTACACCAATTGATTGACAGCAGAGGTGGGACCAAAGAGCTAAAGATCAACCCCATGCAAACATAATTAGGCGAATACACCTGATCTCTCAAACCACGCCCAACTGAACAACTGCTGCTCATTTTGATGTTTTTCTATCTAATTAATCTCCATAATATCAACAGCACCATGAGCAGGTGTGGCACTTGGCACTAGGTGAGGCACCACACAGCAACAACCACCGTGTCCCTCAAGAGTAATGTAAACAAAGAGGCTGTCAACAAACAAATTCTTCACAGATGAAGTTCGGCATCTTGTGTCAAACCGTTGTGTCAGCAACAACCACGTAATGTCTCGTCAAGACCACATCCAATTACTTAGTTAGCGTTATATATCAGGGAAAGCAAATATCCGATAGTGTCAGCGCGACTCTAAACATAATAGGGCGCTTCCTGTAGAGCGTTATCCATTTAATTGTTGAACATATTCAGTGTACTCACCACTTTTGAACACCTCGGGGGTGTCAGGGTCCGACGAATCATCGCTGAAGTGTTCCATATTGAAGCAGTTGTGAACAAGCTCCAAAAATTTCCGCTAGAGCTACATCGTTACACCCAAATTCGATCACTGACAAAACAAAACGCCATGACAGATGCCGCTGTAGGCTATACACCTTCACTATTTTCCTGTCACAGCTCCACTCATTAATTATGACAAGACTTATTTCTCTAAGTGAAGAATACGTTTGCCTACATATCGTTACATATATTTCGAATACAAAATTTAAGTATGTTTACCGTGTTTTAAATAGCTACAAACACCCAGTTAAGGAGAAACAAATATTGTAAATATATCTTACTTTTTAAACTTACTTGCACACGATCTTTGTTATAATAAATACAGAGTGTAATAACTTGATTATATAAATAACACTGATAATATTTACAAAATAATACTTTATTTATAGTCATTCAGAAGGTTATACCCCCGTGACCAGCGATGGCGGCTCCGAATCCCTCCACACTTCTGCCTCTTGGTAAACTGCTCTTCAATATATTTACCGTATGAGTTACAATGCTGCTTTCACAGTGGCCAAGTGATGTTCCTGTATTAAGGTTCCCCCTGACATGTCAGAGGCAGGCTTCGATAAGTTAGTGTCTATGCAGTGTGTTCTTGGTGCCCGGCCGACCCCGGTATTGACTTGGATTTAAAATTAATATGTTTTTCTCAAGACATGCTGCAGTAAATATTAACTTTAATAAACGTACCTAAAGAAGTATCCATCCCATTCTTAGGTGTTTTGTTTGGCGTTTAAAAGTGACAGGTGCTCTAGTTTGTCTAGGATGGTTTGTACATTTGGCTTAATTTAAGGGATACAATTCACATAATAATAATAAAGTACATAATTTAAGGGATACAATTCACATAATAATAATAAAAGTACATACTAGTGAACAAATCCACAAGGGCAGTGACGAGAATTCGAACCTGCGTCTGGGAGCATCCCAGACACTGCCTTAATCGACTGAGCTACGACAGGGTTAAAAGGGTTGTGTAAAAGCCTGGTTTGTGCCTCGGAGAGGCTACGGGATCCAGTAAGTTCAGTAGAACTTCGGTTTCAACCCTTTTAACCCTGTCGTAGCTCAGTCGATTAAGGCAGTGTCTGGGATGCTCCCAGACGCAGGTTCGAATCCTCGTCACTGCCCTTGTGGATTTGTTCATTTGATGCATCACATTAGTGTGATCTCTGTGTGTAGTACATACTACTACATACAAAATGAGTTACAAACAGAATGTTGGATTTCTAGATAGAGCAAGTATATACTATGTCTAAACCTACTAATAATGCTGCTGCTATATACAAGCAGCAAGCAAGTATGCAGCAAGTATATACTATGTCTAAAGCTACTAATAACATCGTACAAATCTTAATGTACGTTGTACAAAAGATGGTTCGCCATCGGATTTTAATACCAACTAACCCAGCCGGTCACAGCCTAATCTAATCTAATACATCCTAACCAAATTCTGTATACAATTTTGACAAGAAAATGAGCTTTGTCGAACCATCTTGTATACAATTTGACTTTACCTCGGTTGGCGACTGACTCATCTAAGGGTTCAAAAAGGACTCCAAGTCATTCAGTGTCATTCTTATTCTTTAAAAACTAATACCTGTATACTAGTACTTTGCCCTAATGTAACCAAGTCTAATCCATCCTAACCTAACCTAACCTAATAAAAATAAATACATTTACTTATGTATATGTGTGTATACCTGTATACATACTAATAATGGGACAATACTAAAATTTGACAATTCAAATACTGATGCCAATTCCACTAAAAAATCTCAATTCTGATACCATTATCGATTCCGATTTTTGTTAATATGTTGAAGTTCGATACCTAGTTTTTTTTAAATTATTGTGTTTTAGTTTGGAAAAATTAACTATTTACATTATGAGCATGGTAAATGTATTAATAATATAATAGATTAAAGGTAAGTTATTGGACTAGGGGGACCACTATAAACCTAACAGGTTTCTTGTCCCAGGAAATGAGAACGAACCTATGTCCTAATTGGGTTACGTCTCAGGAGCTTGTCGTACATATCAATAATGTTTTGTGTATCAAATTTGAATGTCTGGTAGATCATTTCATTTTATGATTTCTATACAAGGTCATTTACACTCATAATTTCCAGTAAAGATATAAATGTTTTACACTGTTTTAGAAATTAAGTACCAAAGAGATTGTACGGGAAAACAAACAAATAGAATATATTATTTTTATGCTCGTCAGCCTTGATTTTTTATATAGTGTAGATAAGTAGATGAACATACAGTATCTGTACAGTATTATTTATATAATAACATTTTTCCACTGCATCTATGTTTTCAGAGTTAGTAGATAAATGTATTGGTTCTCGTATTCACATCATCATGAAGAGTGACAAGGAAATAGTTGGGACTCTTCTTGGCTTTGATGACTTTGTAAACATGGTACTTGAGGACGTGACTGAATACGAATCTACACCAGAGGGACGAAGAATCACGCAGCTTGATCAAATTCTTCTCAATGGAAACCATATAACAATGGTAAGACAGAGGTGTCAGATTTTAGTGTTTATTTTTATACCATTCTTCAGAATGAAGCTGAATTGGTTCTTATGATTCAATCTAAAAACTGCTTTGTGTACTTACATTTGTTAAGCCCATAAAGTTTATGAATTTTAGCTTCCCATCTCTTACTTGAATTGTTTAATGTTCATTCTTTAAAAAAAATTTGGAACTGAAACTAATACAAAATAATGTAAGCAAACCACAAGTTAAATTGAGTTAAATACTGTATTATAATTTATATTTTCCTCATCTTCTTCTTGCCGGCACATATTGTACCCCATTTACAGGAATATATTTATTATATTGGGCAGTTGCCAGTCCTTGGCCACTTCAGGCAGTTAATGTATTGGTGTTAGAAGTGCAATTAAATATACCATTCAATAAATTTTTAGAACAATCTATGATGTAAATTGAAAGAGAAGTTTTCTATAAAATGACAACTACAGTATCTTCCTAAAGATACACTGAGATACCGCCTCTGCAGGTTCTCAGCCAGGTGGCTATATCACCTATTTTTAGAAAATGTAATCCATATAAACAGGCATATTATAATCTATATTTGCCTTCCTTTTCAACAGTACGGTATAGCACAACATTTCTATAAGAACATACTTTGTGTCCATGGACTCAAATGGCTAAGAACTGGCCTGGTTTCAAGCCAAGAATTGGAACTAACTTCTGGCCATGAATTGGTATCCACTCCCACCAAGAACACACAATGTGATCAGGAATTGAACCCCAACTTGTTCTAGAGTATTTGTAAATAAACATTGACTAAGGTCTTTCATTTAATATGATAAATTTTGTGAGTTCGAGGGACATTATTAATGTTTTTTTTTTATTTTTCAGCTTGTTCCAGGTGGTGCGGAATTAGTAGACTAAAGAAAATGCATAATTTGTTTCTAAAATGTGATACCAGTATCATCTTGTGATCTTGGAATACTCTAAAAGTGTGTAGAGAAGAAACCTAATAAAAGGCTAGAGACTTTGCTACAATAATTCATTCTCAGTTTATTTTAGTGAAAAATGTATTGCGCTTTTCATGTGGGGTCTCGTTGTGTATTTGTGCAAAGAAAATTTTTATTTTGGGGGAAAAGTAGCAAAAACATTAATGAATATCAAGGAAATAAAATACATTTAAAAAAATTACAATCTTGATTGTATGAAGAGCTGTGATGCAGATCCTGCAGATGACAAGTTACTGGACTTTTTCGTTCTTAAGATCTAAAAGAATTTAGTCTTTTTGTGACATGTGTACTTCAATTACCAGAATTTAGAGAAATTTTACCATATGAAATGGTGTAATATGTGAGCTAAAAAGATTTGATTACTTTTGTTTAATTTATATGAAATTTAAGCTTTTTCAGTAACTGCTGAAATTCTAATAAAAGATGTTTATTCCTTCTGATGGGCTAATAGGGGCAAGATTTTTTATTTCTTGTTGGTGTAACTTCATGTGTGTGTGTGTGTACTTTTATACAATAAAGTTTTGACATTATGTTGCTACCATCATATTCCTAATACTGTATGCTTGTTGTTAATTATTATATTTGTAGAAAAGCTTGCACCCACTTCTGTAGTACACAGGTGACTAGGTGAATACATAAATAAGGAAAAAAAACAGGCTTTTGTAAATACTGTACTGAACATACACAGCTCATGCATATTTTTGCACTGAATAAAATATAGATCTAGTGCATGAGTTTGGTTGTAATTTTTAACATATTTCTGCAGATACAATATTACTGTAATGACAATGAAAGATTTCTGTACTTCCCAAGTTATTATTTTTAGTAATTTCATGACCTTGGGTGGAAAATGAGTAACGCTGAAATGTACGATTTCAATGTTTTTCAATTTCTGGTACTGGTAAATTTCAATTAATAACCTCAATATCAACAGAACCCCACCATTATAAAACAACCACCAACAATGAGCTTAGATTAACTACCAGTTTGGGTACTTGTGTACCTGAGCCCACTGCCACCAGACAGCATAACTATACTCCCATTTAGTGCAGTATTTTGGAACCTGGTTGTAAAATGATTGATGGATTGTGTTCTAGAAAAATGTAAACGTGAATAATCCAAAACCAATTCAAGTAATTGCTTCAGGTCAAAATCTCCTCATTAAAAATGCTGTCGAGCTACTCGTAAGGCATGAAACAATCAAAATGAAAGTACAGTATTTACAGATTCCTAAAGTCACACTAGAGATCACAGCTCTACTAGCTCAGAAAAACATAAATTATCAATGGAGGAAATTTAAAAGCCAAACATCATATCTTCAAAAGGTCAGGTGTAGCACAAATATGGAACAAGGGTTTCAAGCTCAATAAGCCACAATGTAGGCCTGAAAACAGGAGATGCTTTTTCATCCATGGAACTGCCTACCCGTTGAAGACGCAAAGCCCAGAATTCTGTTGAATTTTAAAATCCAGCTAGAACAAATTATCAGGACAATCAATCCACACACTAGAAAATGAAGGGACGACGACGTTTCTATCCGTCCTGGACCATTCTCAAGTCGATTGTCTCGACCATTCACAATCGACTTGAGAATGGTCCAGGACGGACCGAAACGTCGTCGTCCCTTCATTTTCTAGTGTGTGGATTGGTTAACATACTTCAGCCACGTTATTGTGACTCATCGCCTGCATCAGGGTTAAACGTTTAAATGCCCAAAGTTTCTCTTCTCCCGTGGGAATAGAATTAAAGGCCTTTCAGTTCAGACCCAAATACGCTGAAAACCTCAATTACAGCTCTTTCTAAAAGTTTTCTTTTTATAGCTAACACATTCTTCGTAAAGGATAAACAATATCCATGAACGTAAAATTCAGTACATTGCAAACACATGAAAGAATAACTAACACATCAATATTATAGTGTATCCACAACCCTATACGTTTCTTCGTTTTCTTTGGAATAACGAGACAGTACAGAGGACGAGAACAGTGTAGGATAGACTAGCGCGTTTTTCAAGATAATAATATAGTTCATTGTACTCATTTAGTTGTGCTTGCGGGGGTTGAGCTTTGGCTCTTTGGTCCCGCTCTCAACCGTCAATCTACTGGTGTATAGATTCTTAAGCCTACTGGGCTCTATCATAGCTACATTTAAAACTGTATGGAGTCAACCTCCACCACATCACTTCCTAGTGCATTCCATAGAGTTAATTACTACTCTGACATTTAAAAAGTTCTTTCTGATGTCTCTGTGGCTCATTTGGGTACTCAATTTCCACCTATGTCCCCTTGTGCGCGTACCACCCGTTTTAACTAATCCATCCTTGTCTACCCTGTCAATTCCCATGAGAATTTTGTGTGTGGTGATCATGTTTCCCCGAGCTCTTATCTTCCAGCGACGTGAAGTGCAGTTCACGTAGCCTTTCCTCATAACTCATGCCTCTTAATTCTGGGACTAGCCTAGTGGCATACCGCTGAACCTTTTCCAGCTTTGTCTTGTGCTTGATAAGGTACGGGCTCCATGCTGGGGCCGCATACTCCAGGATTGGCCTTACATATATGGTATAAAATCCTGAGAATTTCTTATAGAAAATTCTCAAAATTCCTATCGGGGGACAGGAAGCCAGAGTGTATTCATACACGTTTGGCTTTTATCGAGGACAGGGCGGGGGGATCGAGGATCGAGGGGGATCCATTGGATTATAATCCCATGGAATTGTGCAAGTACCTATATACAGGTTGATCGTTGCACAGTTTTGCGACCTGCGTTATCGTAACACTCTGGAGCTAGTCTGAAGTAACGACCTTAACATCTTGACTCAACGGAGGTCGTAAATCTCCACAACGTAGTCGCAAATTTTGGTGGGAGAACATGGCCGACCTTTCCTCACTGTTGCAATTCTTTTTGGTGTACACTCAAGGAATGTATGAAGGTTAGCATCTCTATTCATATTTAATATTCAAACTCAATTCACATATGGTGTATAGTGGTACCCTGTGACGATGTCAACACCATCTGTTGAGCGCACCCTACCCCATTTTCTGTTCCCCGGTGATCTTACTGACACCTATGTAGTTTCCTTCTTACTATACAATTTGTATTCTTCAGAAAAAAAATCAAAATCAAAATGTTTATTTAGGTAAGGTACATACATATAAGAGATTTTACAAAGAGTGATGGATTTATAGTTAGGGCTAGTACATACAATGCCTAAAGCCACTATTACGCAAAGCGTTTCGGGCATAAATATTCGGGCATATCCTCCAGAAGTGATGTGGAGGATACCTTGGTCAACAAGAGTCAGTTCCCCCAGGGCAGTCCTGAACTCAGGATTGTTCTGGGTGCCAGTGGGCCGAATTGGTGGTGACTTGTTTGTCTGTGATAAACAGAAGATTGGTGACTGGACCGACGTAACCTGGGATGGCCCAGTTGAGTTACGAGATGGAATTTACGTCCGTGTGTCCTGATTGATGAAAATTAAGCCATCTAAGAGGTGGCACGGGCATGAATATCCCGTAAGTGGTACGTCTGTCCCCTGAGGCAGTCAATCAATGAATTAGGTGAAGCCTTTAGGGGAAGCCAGCCAGCGTGTTGCTGGAGAGAAGTGGTGTTTTGATACTGGTAAGACTGTGCAGGACTGGCCCGTGATTTACTGAGTAAGGTGGACTCGCCGGCGTGAGGACCCGAGAAGCAAGGCTCGGGGAAGGTACCTTCAGTGTTGGACGATAAAAGTGGACTCGCCGGGATAGAAGACTGCAGAAGTTCTTTTGTAGTGTCCGTGTGTAAGTGACACCTGCTGTGTTATGTTGTGTACATGTGTAACAAGTATATAGTTAAGTACACGTGGTAATGGTTTGGTTTAGTGTTGTTTATCCCCAGTCCAGTTGGATTGACCATTACTGCCAGTTCTTACCTGTGTTCTTGCCCTTACCTTACCTATGACTTGGGGTTTGATCGGGTAAGAGGAGGCACTGAGGCCTGATAGAAAGTTTGAGTTATAAGAACCCGCTTACTGGCCAAGTGAGGCCGTAACATATCCTGTGTGAAATAATTACATTTACAATCGTGTCTCGCGTTCATTCCCAGATTGTTTTAAAATTTTCCAAATAATATGACATACAATCGATCCATTACCATACAGTCTCCCTGGTCCACCACCACTACACCCCTCTCCCTGGCCCACCACCACCACCACTACACCCCTCTCCCTGGTCCACCACCACCACCACCACTACACCCACCACCACCACCACCTGGCCTCTCCCTGGCCCCCACCCACCACACACCCTCTCCCTGGCCCACCACCCCACCCACACCCTCTCCCTGGCCCCCACCCACCACCACCACCACCACCACCCTCTCCCTGGCCCCCACCCACCACCACCACACCCTCTCCCTGGACCACCACCACCACCACACCCTCTCCCTGGACCACCACCACCACCACACCCTCTCCCTGGACCACCACCACCACCACACCCTCTCCCTGGACCACCACCACCACACACCCTCTCCCTGGACCACCACCACCACCACACCCTCTCCCTGGACCACCACCACCACCACACCCTCTCCCTGGCCCCCACCCACCACCCACCCCCACCCACCCACACCCTCTCCCTGGCCCACCACCACCACCACACCCTCTCCCTGGACCCCACCCACCACCACCCTCTCCCTGGACCACCACCACCACCACACCCTCTCCCTGGCCTCCACCCCACCACCACCACACCCTCTCCCTGGACCACCACCACCACCACACCCTCTCCCTGGTCCCCACCCACCCACACCCTCTCCCTGGCCCCCACCACCACCACACCCTCTCCCTGGACCACCACCACCACCACACCCTCTCCCTGGCCCCCACCCACCACCACACCCTCTCCCTGGTCCACCACCACCACCACACCCTCTCCCTGGACCACCACCACCACCACCACACCCTCTCCCTGGACCACCACCACCACACCCTCTCCCTGGACCACCACCACCACCACACCCTCTCCCTGGACCACCACCACCACCACACCCTCTCCCTGACCCCCACCCACCACCACCACACCCTCTCCCTGGCCCCCCACCACATATGCACAGCTGACCGTGTATAGCAGAAACAACAATTCCCCAAAATCTGACTCGTGCCAGTTATATCTGGGATAATACCCCCAGGGGTTTGGAAATCCCTAAAGGAGAAACTGTGACCATATGCTCCAAGGTCGAGTTTTATTGTCGCTCAAGTTGCCATTCGCCCATAGTGTAGGTGGACGCCGGTCGTTATCTCTCTCCTACAAACACCATTGTTATCCACCCGTCAAAGAAGGCGAAGACTGCTATCCACCGCTGGTAATAGAGGCGACATGCCTGCAGTCTAGAGTGCTATATTAACCCTTTGGGTGAATGTGAGTAGAGCCAGGCTGGGATGCCCGGGTATTGTCACGTGTGAGCGGCTGTCAGCCCGTGTCTCCGCCAACCGACGTCCACCATTGATGCCCGCCCGCTCCCTAATGGCGCGGAAACATTAATTGATTAT